ATGGTCTGCTTCTTCGAGGGGGTGGGGGACCCCCCCCCCACTCGAATTCCGCCCCCCGACCCCTGAACCCCCGCCCCGATCGGCCGCAGCCGCGGCCGGAAGTTCATGACCGGACCGGCTATGACCGGGGGGGTCCCGACCACGGCCGGCGGTCGCGGCCATAGCCAAACTCGGCCACGGCCATGGGGATACATAGCTTCCTAAGGCCGCAAGAAGCATGGATGATGGGCGAGGCCGCTGTCCACGAATGAGAGTGCAATTCAAATTCAGAATTTTGCCGCCGCGCACACTTTTCATATTGTGGGCGTCGCCTTCGCACGCCTGGTAGGCTGCCCGCCCAAACGGTGAGGTCCCAAAAATTGCATGTCCCGCGAGCCCGCAGGATATTGACAAATTCTTGTCAACCATACAACCTTCACGGACGTTTGAGCCCAGATAGGCGGACGTTATGACACCCAGCCCTCCTCAACTGAGATATAAGGGCGGGTAAGTGTAGGGTTTCCCTTACAACCTGCGGAACGAAAAAAAAAGTTAGGGTAAATTAATCAACCTCGGCCCGTTAGGGCGCCCTTTCAATGTAAGGCTTAGTAAGTGGTGTGGAACGAGGCCCATAGAACCTACTAGTACGAATCAGGGGTATCAAGCGGATTATCACAGTCGGTTGGCACTAAAAAAAAACAAGGGGACCCGCCGCGGCTCTGGGCGCGACGAAGAGGGGGGATGTGGGTGAAGAGGTCGGAGGTCTGGAGAGTGAGCACAAAAAAAAAGAAAAAAAAGAAGAAAAAAAAGGAGAAAGTAGGTGTGTGTGGCCCCATCTTGACTTCGTTGCCCTCCGACCCCCCTCCCCTCCCCTCCCCTCGGACTTCCTATCCCGACCTCCCCTTCCCATTCTCGCATCCCAACTTGAATCCTGACTTCCCGATTTGTCGTCCCCCCTTCTCACCGATCCCGATTTCAACCAACCAAGTCGACTTCGATGCCGTGTGTGTGCCCCCATCCTGACTTCGTCGCTCCCCGACCCCCCCCTCCTCCTTTGGACTTCAATCCCGACTTCGTCGCTCCCTATCCCGACCTGACTTCCCCTCTAGATATCCCGACCTCGTCCCCCCATTCCCACATCCCGATTTCAATCCCGATTTCCCGGCTTCCCCCCACCCCCTCCTTACCGACCCCGATGTCGACTAACCAAGTCGACTTTGATCCCGAAAAAAAAAAAAAAAAACACGAAAGTAAGTGTTCCCCCGACCCCAAAAAAAACACGGAAGTAAGTGTCCCCCCCGACAAAAAAAAAACCATGAAAGTAAGTGTCAAAAAAAAAAATTGTGTCGAAAATCGACGAAAAAAAAAAAAACTAAAAAAAAAATGATTCCACGTCTCTTCGATCAAGCTCCCTCTCGTCCCCCTCCTTCCTCAATCCCGCCTCCCTCTCCTCCCGCACCCTTGTGATCCCTCCTCCCCCTCCTGCCCCACCCTTGCGATCCCGATGCTCTGATCCCGACTCCCCTTCCCTTTCGCCTCCTTCGTCAATCCCGCCTCCCTCTCCTCCCTCACCCTTGCGATCCCGACGCCCTCCCGCACCGATCACGACTCCCCCTTACTTCTGCCCGCTTCCCCAATCCCGACTTTCGATGCCGATCTCCCATCAAGCTCCCCCCCCCCCCCCCCCCCCCGACTCCCCCTCCTCTCCCCCCCCCCCCCCCCCCCCCCCCTCCGCCCCCCCCCCCCCCTCGAGCCCCCCCCCCTCCCTCTCCCCCCCCCCCCCCCCCCCCCCCCCCCTCCTCCCCCATGCTTCCGATCCCCACGTTC